CAGCCTAGTAGCGATGGCCTCCATAGCGATGGCCTCCAACCTAATAGCGGTGGCCTCCAACCCTATAGCGATGACCTCCAACCTAATAGCGATGGCCTCCAACCTAGTAGCGATGGCCTCCACCCTAATAGCGATGGCCTCCAATCAAAGGAATGTGGTGTGGTTGCCTGCCACGTGTATTCTTGCTTGCCCTGTGCACCTCGTGAACTGCAGCTGCCTGACCTTCTGCAGCTTCAGCATCTGTCCTCCCAAGCTTGGGCAAAGAGGTGGCCAGCAGGATATATATCTTACAGTCATGTGGTACCTTTTTTCTGCCACACAAAGATTGCATTTTGAGCGCCTTTTTGACTTACAAGTTGAATCGAGTCCATCTCCGCCTCGCGGCCGCTTCAGGAAATGCTGGGAGTGTCTCATCTCCATCCATGTTGAGCGCCTGGGCATGCAATCACCCTGTGGTCAACTTCCAAAAGCCTTTTCGTCGCTCAAGTTACCCTTGACTATCCGCCGACCATGGGAAGCTCTTAGAGGTCCTGTATATAGTAAGTTTCTTTGGGGCACTCTCTCTTTGTCTCTCTCTCCCTCCTCTGTCTGCTTTTTTGTGACTCGTCAAAGATTTACACTCATCACCTCATCCGTGCATTCAGGCAGTATATTGCCTAGCCCGTCCTGCAAGATTGACTTGAAGTTAATCCAAGTTGCTTCGCTGGAAGCACAAGGAGACTTGGAGGATCTAACTGAGCCAAAGGACCACGGACATCAGCAAAAGCTTTTGTCAAGCGCTTTGGCCCTTCAAACACCGGTGGGGTGCTGCAAATGATCCAGAAAGCAGTAGAATTGATGTCAATTGCACTGCACTCAGCGATGTTCACATTCACATCTGCCCCACCAAATGCTTAGCCAATTCTGTACTAAGAGATGCATGCTCCCAACATGTCTGGGCAAGGGAATACAAGCTTGCCAGCGGGTGTGTGGAGTTCCCTGCACGCATGGGAGCTATCATGGACTGCTGCCACAATTGATGCTGACATGAATCGTGCAACGAAAGGACTTCAGCATCGCACACTGTTAGGGACGGCTGGTTGGTCACACCATGAAGAAAGGAAACCGCTCTGAAACAAAATGGCCAAGATTCCCTCTATGACTCTATTGGTGAACCTCCGGTTGACATGATTGGGTCATGCAAGCCACTGCCCACTCCTCCTCGCCAAACACAAATGGCGCCTGTGGCTGCAGCCGCTCATGTGGGTTTTGCCAAGTCTGCTTGCTGGTCCAGGTTTATTCTGAAGGTGCTTCCTTCTCTGTGAACTGTGGTCTCCAGCGTCGATTCTGGCTCAGGACCAACATGGACCAAAAATGTTATAAAGAGACTTGAAATGACTTGAAGCAAACGAACCAAGAAAGAATCTGCTATCCTATCGCTTGAGTGTGCGGGCAGCGGTGCGGCAAACAACGTATTCTTCAGGCCGCAAAAAATACAACTCAGCGGTTGAAGGTACTCAAAGCCTATCCCTAAAGAAACGTTTTATAAAAATATTATGCTTCCAACGCCCTCAGCAAAGAGGCTTACAAAATCTTAGCAGTAAGTCAGTGAGTGTTCCCTGCAGTCCATCAAGAGTTGTCTTTGTTTATCACTTCCCATGCAGGATCTAATTATCTGCTTCCCTTCTCCTTAGGCCTGGAGTTCCCCTTGGCCCCTTGGCAGCAGACTTCAAGCACTTCCGGGCAAACTTGACGAAGCTGTCCATGTCCCTCACTACCTGAGCCTGTAACAAGGCGGGACGCTTGTCTCGATCCAAAGACATTGCATGGCTGCCCTTTGGCATCCCAAGCTAATAGCATCCTTGCTCCTAGTAGCGATGCCAGGAGCCTCTAGCAGCTTCTTGCCCAGTAGTAAGGCAGGAGCCCCTAGTCTGCTTGATGCAATGATTCTGGCAAAGCGGAACAGCCCCCCTCGCGCGTTCCCGGCTTGCGACCTTTCTGAGGTTTCTCCTCCAACGGATGATGTTCATCTCTTTGGTTTCAGGGCTTGCTCCTCATGATTCCAACGTGCTTCATCAACCCCTTGTCTTGCAACATACAGCAAACGCCGCTGCATCTCAATGTGTCGGAATCATTCTTCCTAAGGAAGAATATGCCGTGCAATTGTGCGCCTCACTCCCCTTTCGGGGGTGAAGGATGCATGCCCTGAAATTTTCAGTGTCATCATCTTCTGCAGAGCGGCTCTCGTAAGAAGACTCGGTGGTTGGGATGTATAAGAAGTCCCCAGAAGAGGCAAGTCAAAAGAATCTCAGAGCATTCGTAGCGACCCAGCACATTCATTTGCGTTGGATCAAGTCAGTCAGGTCCCCGACATATCCAGTTCTCTGACAGATTTACAACAACCCCTGAGAAAGAATATAAGGATCAAGAAGGATTGGCAATGGTTCTGCTAGCGTCCCAAGGGATCTGATCGGAGGCATAGCCCCCACAATGCCAAAGAGAGCAAAACGGCCCATGGCACTGCTGTTGACAGGACTCCTCCTCGGGATTCTAGGAGTGCGAAGCAGAAAACAAAAGCCTACCTTTCCCCAAGGACAAGCAGAATTGGTTGGGAAGTCTGGGGTGCCACAATGTACTCCCGCTGAGGGTCGAGGACTTGGGCCTCCAATTCTGCAATACAATTAGCCTAAAGGGCCGAAGTCCATGTGGCCTGTGCTTTGTCAAAAGACTTCCTTGTCGAGCACTCGGCGACATGGAACCAACCCCGAGCGGCAGGTTCATGAATTCGATCAAGCGCAAAGTCGTGTAGAAGCTGCCCTGCCAACACGGATGAATGCCAAACATCTTTGATCAAACCTGGGATTTATCTACAATGTCACAGGATTGTGAGCAAACTAAGTGTTCATGTCATGTCATGCATTGTCATGCTTGCTGCTGTCCATTCAGCCTAGTAAGGATCTGAATGAAATTTGGCGGCTGGCCTGTCTAGCCAGCATGGGCCACACCCTGTACTTGGAGAAAATTTTTGAAGGGGACATGCTTGGCCGTGAGCTTGAACCATCGCACTCTGTCCTCACGAGGTTCCGCTCTCTGTGCAAAAAGGGGTTACGAATGTTGCATTGAAGAGATAGCTGTAGCTTAACTTGAAGCGTGTCTAAGCACAGCCTAAGGACAGCCAACTGTGCGTATGCAACGTTTTTTTCATCTTATTTATATATATATATAAGGTACCAAATCACCAAGGACAATCTTGCAGAGGTCTCCTTGGTGCGGCAGGAGTAGCTGCTCCGCACTGAGTTCCAAAGCAACTGCCAGTTGCAGCCGTTGGTTGAGCCTTGGCTAGCTTGAGCATGCTTACAGTATACTAGTATACATATTGTCGTGCAACGCATGTGTGCAATCTCTCAAGCTTGTCAAAACTGCAAATGTAGAGAAACTGTAGAGCTCAATGCAGGCTTCACCATTCAAGTCAGCTTGGTATTCTTCCTCAGGATTGGCAAATGAGCCGATGTTCGACAATCGCAGAGGCTAAGCACAAAAAGGCTGTTGAGGCAAAGAATCAGGAAAGTTGACGCCACTCACGTGGATCGTATGAATAGGCAGGAACCAAGTCATTGACTCGCCTGACGCTGCTGCATTGCAAGAGCTAGCCGTGACAACACGTCAAAGGAAGCCCACCTGGCTGCAACTCCAGCGGCAAAACATTTCGCGCCACCTCCTCCTTGAGAAAAAGCTTCAGTGGCAACTCGTGGTCCATGCTGCAAGCTGCAAGCACGATAATTGCAAATCTAAAAGGTGAACTGTGCGGTCCTGCGCTTTGTGTGGCCCATGGGTATGTGGTGGAGCCTTCCTGAACAATACGAACAAAAGCAGATTTATGAACTGCCAATGAGAATACTCTAATGTGCCGTAGTCCTCAGGTGAATGGCTTGTGAAAGCTTGTGAAAGCACAAAGCTGAATTCAGCAAGCGGCCAGCCCAAATTGCTTGGGATCAAGTTGATCCATACACCCATGAATGGCATGTGGCGGCGATGCTCTTGGCACCTTAACTTACGCGGTCACCCCGTCGAAACAATGCTATGACGTCACTCTGTGAAGGCAGTTTTTCGTTGCTGAACAAATGCTACCAAAACGATTTGGCTTTGCTCCAAGCGTCTGGACACCCCACTTTGCTTCTAACAGCTTGAAAATGTCTGGAGTCCACTCGCCAGAGGATGCCTTAACGGTCGAATCGCAGGAAGCTCAACTGTGGCTACCATCAGCTACCATAGGCTATCATTTGCGACATAAGCTCATGAAGACTCCACCGTGCTCCAGGTCCCTCTGCCTGCGCTTCTGCCCACATAGTATCTGCTACAAAGCCCAACCCCACGCGGTCAGCATGGTAGCCTCAAAGCTAAAGCAACCAACGGAGCATTGCTGTGTGGCCAGCCGATGCTAGAACCATTTGCTGATTCATAGTGTGTGTGTGTGCGTGTGCTTCAAGCCTTCTGAGCTACAATCAAACATAGCAAGGCCACGAATCTCTTGGAAGCGCTGGTCGTTAAAGCCGCCAAAGCTTACGTGTTCCTACGGCAGTGACTAACAGCAAACAACTTGAAATACTAATACGAACCAACAAAAAAGGATCGCAATTTCAATTTCAAAGTTAAGCTGGATTGACCATTATCTAACTAGTAAAATGCACTTTTGGGTACATTATAAGTTGTTTTTGCGGACAGGTAAATACGCCCCCTTGCAAAATGGTCTTGTACAGGTTCCTTGCGAGTTAAACCGGACCAGTAAAAAACTGTAAACTGGCATTTTCTAGAGGCGCTGGAAAGAGTTGTTCTTGAACAATATTGATTGATCACTAGCAAGACGTGGAAACAACCATTTCCTATAGAGATTATCAGCTCTCAAAATATGTAAGGACAAAATGGTGTCCCTGTGTTCTATCGCTGTTGTGCCAAACGTCTAGAAAGTGACCTTGCACCAATTCACATGTCCAATGATTTTCAAGCGTGAGACATCTAGAGAATGTCCTCTACGAATTGGTTGGGCATGGAAAATATGTGATTACTGTATATCATCCATGAAAATGCTGTTGCAACCATTTCTTGGAGGAAATTAACGGGTATCTAACGGGTATTTGATGTAAAAAAGTACTTTTAGAAAAGGAATGAAAATAATTAAGGTGTTTGGGGCCCAACCGGCCCAAACGGCTTCTTATTATGAGTGTTATTAATATCTCCGTACTTTCATTATAGGTTGCGATCTCTGTCCAAGGGAAGATGTTCCCAAGCACTCCTGCATGATGTCCGCAAAATTCTGGTGTGGGTTCTGCTCCTAGCAAAGCCGCTGCAAGCAACCTTTGGGTGGTTTCTGTGTTGAAGCAGTTGGAACCCTGCGCAAATGCTCAGGTCCTGCCAAGAAATTATCATTTTTTGCAAGTTCATAGTCGCCAATGTCCTCAGAAAGTGCAGCTGGAAGCTAGATCGAATCTTCTCTGCAGCCCCCGCGTCTCATCTCACTGGATCATCTCTCCATTTGACCATCCAAGCGGCATTGCTGGCCAAGGACAGTAACTCTTCCAAGATCCGTGCGTTCAGCGTCCAAGCTTCACGAAGACTCTGCTCTGGGTCTGCCAACAGGGCACCTTGTGAGAAGCAACACAACTGAAGGGAATAAAAACAAAATGTTAACAAAATCACTAATGCTACATGATATTACATTATATTACATGCGCATAAATGATCCCAACTGCTAAAGCGCTGCCAACCCCAAGGGACAGCTAGCACACTTGGGCCCCAACGAAGGCAGGCACTCCTCAGGTGAACCCCGTGATCAGGGAAGCGATGCGCCACTTCCAACATAGCCTGAAATGACACAGACTGAACAACGTGCTGTTTGCCCCTATGTACTTGCTGGACCCCTGCACTAGTTCACTAAAGGAATGCATGCAAGAACTTGAATCCTCACACAGGTTCAATTTGCGTGCACTTCCTGATCCAAGCAGCATAGATGTCCCTGGTGGGCACATCTAACCCACGTAAGACATGCTCAATAACTTTTCCAGGTTCCTGGAAGTCAGCGTTGATGGCTCAGAATAGTGATCTTAACAATTCCTGTAGCCCTGCAATGCGACCATCGTCTTAGTTGCCGGTGTGTGTATATATATTTTTAGTTTATATATTTACTTATGTGTACATATATAGTGCCATGTGCTTAAAAGCAATTATAAAGAAGGGAAGTGATAAAAAAGATAGGTCCAGTCACTAGCCACTAGCTGCCTGGAGTGTCATGTTGGCCACGCAATCCAACTTGATTCTACAAGTGCTGCTACAGTAAGTCAGTAAGTCATAGATGGGGGTTCAGCACTTAACACCAGAAGCATGCTAGACTCCTTGGCAAGTTGAATCCAAGTTGAAGAAAAACATGTTCTGAGCATAAAGAATTACAAACTAAAGCGGCACAGTCGATTTTCGCAAGAGGATGTCGTAACGAAGAAGGCCCTCCTTTACGCCATACATCTCAGCCATAAGAGCTGTTTCAATAGCCACCGTAGTGTTCGGAGGCATCCGCCCGGAATACAGGAACCTAGCTGGAGACTTGAATCAAGAGCCCTGAGTGAATCAAAAATTCTGACTTGGATTGGATTTGTTTGCCTGAGGAAGCTTTCCACTGCGGCCACTGAGAAATTGTGCACCTCCCACCTTGCACAGTGTCTGAAAACATCACCCCCTTGAGAAGCAGAAATTGACTTGACATGATAATTCAACTAAAATCGCGTGATTGATGCAGATTGCATAGGATGACCAACTTCGGAATGACAGTGCGAGTTGCCCAAGACCAAGGCCTCTTCCCCAAAGAAACCTGTTGAGTGAGCTTATCAGACCAGGCCTTAGTTTTGCCGGTTCCAATCGGCGATCATGCCACGGCTCTCTGCGGACATGGAAGCTCCCACGGTTATGAGTTCAAGGGCTGTCAGCGGGCTCAATGCATGAAACAGAACTTTACATTTTCTGCGCAAGATCTCTGAAATGCGAAGCCAAGTGGCAGCCACAAATGCAGAGTAGACAAGGTATTCTGCTGTCGGGGCCCCATTGCTCATCACCACCTTGAGCAGTTCATCGATTGTATATGCGTGTTTTGTTCTTTAGCCACTTTGCAATCGGATTTTGAGTTGGTCGACGGCATATTATCAAAGTCACCACAAGTCGTTTATGAATTGCCAGCTTTTTTTGCTGACCCAGCAGCCACATACATATCCCCTTCCTTGCCAAAGCATCTCCTGGGCTAGATTGTCACAAGGACTGAGAACAAACCGCAGGCCTATCGATGCCGTCCCCCTCCGTTGACTTTGCATACACTCAAGGAGCTGAACTTGCACAAAAGGAAGTGAAGGTCCCAGGGAAAATCGATGTAGCCCTAGAAGCTGGCTACTCATGGGCTGGGCGTTCTTGCTTGTACAGGTAAGCTAGGGGCGCTTGCAACTGGTGCCATGCCTTTGGTGGGAGAACGGATCTGGAGTTCGCAATGGCATTTAGCAAATGCTACTCTCACCCTGCCATGCAAATTCTCCAAGGATCTCCATGGCACCTGCCACCAACGGCGAGTAATCCATGGCGTACGCAGGTGTTTGACTGAGCCTTTGGCTCAGCCACGGGCCCGTGCTTGCCGGGTTTTTTCCACAAGCCAACTTACAGAAACCGGGGTTTCAAAATTTCCAACTCTAAGTCTGAACAATCAGCAATGCCAGGTGAATGATCTCATTTCCAATGTTTCGTGTCAGCTGATGAGCCAAATCCGGCATTCCCCGGATGCAAGGACCGGCACCTCGAGGTTTTGTCTTGAACATTATTGTGCAGTCATACCTTCCAGTGCTTCCATATATTATACTATATATATACTATACTATACTATACTATACTATACTATATGTAAACTATATTATATATATATATAAAGACTCCCAGCACTCCACTTTTGTCTGCAACGCAAAGCCTAGGTGGTCATAAATTCAAAAGAACATTGACAGTAAAGAATCACAGTTTGAGGCCCCCTGCCTCAGACCCCCCCCCTTCTCTCCCCCGCCTAACCGGGGTGAGAGAGAGCCAAGGGTCACAGGGTGGTCC